TTTTTATAATTTTAAAAAAAAATATTAGTCTGGCCGCGCGGCTATACTTTTTTACAGTTGGGCTCCTAATCGCTAGGCGGGTCCTCTTTTTTTTTTTTTTTTTTTTTTTTTTTTTTTAAAAATAAAACCCCCCGGGCTATAGTCATTATATATATACTGGGATCCTTTTTTTTTCTTTTAATTTTTTTTCCCAATTTTCTTTTATCAAAAAGAGTAGTTTCATTTTTTACTCTTCCAGAATTATTACCCATATAAAGAGTTTAGCACTTTCACTTTTAATACTGTATAATACAGGTACATATGCATTTTTCAATAATATATCCATGTTTTGTACATGTCTTAAAGACTTGGTAAAATTCACGTTATTAAAAAGCAAATGTACAATACTCGTATTGTACATGTACATACGTATTTTTCATGTTTAATATATATAAATTTTTGTATACAAAATCTTCAATAAGACACACAAAATGTACATATTATACACATAACTCTCACATATTATTGAATAAAAATAATACATATTAAAAAATACAAATAAATTATATTAAAATATAATATAGTGGGTGAACTTTTAAGTTGTAATTTGTCAAAATTTTGCCGAGTGGTTATACTGAGGTTCTTTTTATATATAAAAAAAAAAACTATAGCCGGGTGGCTATACGCATTTAAAATTGTTTTTTTTTTAAAAATAGTATGGTCGACTGGTTATACTATGTTTTTGATGTTTTTACAAAAATAGTCTAGCCGCGCGGCTGCACTGTTTTTGACACGTGGGCTCCTAGTAGCTAGGCGGTCCCCCTTTTTAATTTATAAATAGTATAGCCGCGCGGCTATACTCAGGTTTTTTAATTTCTTTTTTGTAAAAATAGGGTAGCTGCTCGGCTATACTGTTTTTACACATGGGTTCCTAATTGCTAGGCGAGTTCCTTTTTGTTTCCTTAAAATAGTATAGCCGATTTTTTTTCTTTTAAAAAAAAAATAATAATAATATCGCCTCCCGGCTATACTATGTTTTTAATTTTTTTTT